AGTTTTCTAGCAGCATCTGATCGAATTGCATATGCATGTGTACAACTTGGATGAAGAGCTTGATGAACACGATAATTATGTTGTGATGATTGATCTATAAGTTTTCCAGGTGTATTAGCACAATGACCGAGATAAATTAAATCAGCTTCATTCCATATTGAATGTGAAAATGACTGCATTATTTGAGGTGTATCAATTTCAAGATCTATATCATCTTCAACAATAATTGACCATGCATTATTTTGACAAGGTGTATTATTAGCTATAGTTAACCATACACGCATATGACTTGCCCAACAAGCTAATTCAGTTAATTTAAGAAGTAGTTTATTACGATATTTATTTCGACTAAGGATCTCAGTTGAATGAATGGAATAAGCTGGAACAATAAATGCTTCTAAATTCAATGTCTGCATCAGTGCAATAGATTCGGTGCGTCGATCGGGACGAGATGGTAAATTAATAATATAGATTGGAGACGCTTTACCTATAGATTTTATACTACCATTTATATGAAATAATAAAGATTGATCCAATGGTGGAATTGACTGGATTGGTTGAAATGGATGTAATAGGTAATACTTTTTAAAATCATATGAATAATTTATTAAGAGAAAAACAAATGTAAAAAATATTAAACAGATTGTTTTATAATATTGCTGAATGAACAACATTATTTTCTTTTGCTTCGGTGGATGTTGTACTAATAGTTCACGTCAAAGTAACGAGTTACAGTGTTTGCAAAAGATTGTATTGTGTTATTCAATATCTCAAAGTGCCGCTCACATTGCTCTTCTTCTTTTTTTTCTTCTCTTACAGTCAAGCAATACGTCGGCTTCGTGACATTATAATTACTTGCTGCTTCTTTTTTTTTTTTGAAAGGAAGAATGAGATAAATTTTATATTTGTATCAGGTTTACTGATGGATTCGGAATGATGAGGAACAAAAAGAATATTAATAGAATATTAAAATGACATTTGAATTAAAATTAATTATCTAAAAGCAAAATATGTAGTTTTTTTTGTCAAGGTAGCAAACTGTTTGTTAATATTATAAAGATACTCTAGTTGAGTAAATCTCTTGCAATGTATGTAAGAATGTGATAATAACTTTCGAAAGAGATAATAAGGATAAAAAAACCTTTTATAGAAAAAAAGTAAGTTGTATGCTGAATAATCTCGTATTAATAAGGATGCTTTTTTCTTTGAATTTTTTTATTACGGGTCTATAGCTTCACACACTACTCAGTGTTCAGCTTAAGGAATGTATATATTCTATTCCTATAATCATATCTATATATATATATTGTTCATAGAATAAAGTCTTTGATCAATATAAATGTTTCAATGAACACTTAGAAATGTCCAGAAATGAGAATTATAAAAGCAGATGTCATAATATTAATATTAGAAAAGATCAAATATTTCTTTTTTATATAGAATGAATTTATTAATATGAGCTGTTCAAAAAAAGTTGTATAATCATTTAAAATATATAAAGTCAAAACTGTTGATTTGATGATAGGAGACTGAAATTTAACTATTATAATCTATGTCAAGAAACATCAAACTATTCTTTATACTTGATATGTGCTAATTCATTTTTTTCCTTTCTAGACTTCTATAG